TGCAGGCCTGTAATCCAAGACTGTGATTCTACTGCCTCTCAGTGAGCTAATGCCTTACTCGGAGGAGTGGCTAAAACAGGAGAGGAGGGAGGAATTGTGCTGCAGTCAGCTGACAATGCACATCTAGGCTTTTTGTGTGTCTCCCAGACATTTCTGTGTGGTTTCTTATCATTGTTGCATTCCGCCAGGTATAACTGCACTGGGCTGTGTTTTGGAAAGGTGGATGTGGGCCGCTACCCAGATGTCGCCACCAGGTGAGCTATCCAGAAGCCCTTGCTCTAGGAAACTTCTCAGGAGTGTGATGGCGGAGAAGGCCAAAGGTGATGTGCCCTCTGGCTGCCTGTGTGGTGTGTAGTACCATGAAGATTCCTCTTCCATTGTAGCGGGGGCAGGTGTGGGGGAGGAGGTTGGCCATGCATTTCTTTCATGAGTCTCTTGGACCCTGTACCAATTGTCTCTTCATAGGTACAAAGTCAGCACCTCTCCTCTTACCAAGCAGTTGCCCACCCTCATCCTTTTCCAGGGAGGGAAGGAGGTGATACGCCGGCCACAGATTGATAAGAAGGGACGGGCAGTCTCATGGAACTTCTCTGAGGTATTTTATTTACTAGATTTCTGTACCACTTTGCTATCAAAACATCCAGTATTGTTAACACAGGGCTGACATAAGGATCTTAGGGTAAGTCTGCCGTCAGATGCTTTCCCAAAAGGCAGTCCTGACCTGCGGGCACAGCTGCAGCTGGCAGGGCGTCACGGTGGTGGTATTTTTTATTTATTTATTCAAACCTATATGGTGCCCTCCCCACAAGTGAGCTCAGGGCGGATCACAAAGCCATTCGGCATCATAATATAAATAATAAACAGTTTAAAAACGATTTATGACCAACAATTTAAAAAACAGATTGAACTAAAAATACATTGAAAAAACAGATTGCACTATTAGTTTATACACATAATTTCCAGAGCTGGTACCACTAGGTCTCTAAGATCTACTTGCTCTGGGCCACATCAAGCTGGTGAAGTTCAGCAGGGGAGGTCAACTTTTCCACTGGATGTCCGCGGCCTCAGCCAGAGGCCTGGCGGAACAGCTCTGTTTTACAGGCCCTGCAGAACGGCAGTCGGTCCCGCAGGGCCCTGATCTCACACGGGAGCCTGTTCCACCTGGCCCTGGTCGAGGCTAAGTGGACGTCTCTGGGGCCGGGGACAAGCAGCAGGTCTTGGCCAGCAGAGCACAAGGCTCTCTGGGGCACATCTGGGGAGAGGCGGTCCCTCAGGAATGTCCGTCCCAGGCTGCACACGGCTTGAAAGGGCGATGCCAGTACCTTGAAGCGGATCCGGTGCTCAGTTGGTAGCCAGTGCAATTGGCGTAGTGCTGGCTGAATGCATGCCTGCACAGGCTAGTGCTGTCGGCAGGCGTACCGCTGCATTTTGCACTAGCTGGAGTTTCTGGATCAGATGCAAGGGCAAGCCCACGTAAAGTGACTTACAGTAATCCAGTCTGGAAGTGACCATTGCATAGGTCACTGAAGCCAAGTCCCGGGGGGAGAGGTAGGGAGGCAGCATCATTAAGACCAAGCATTAAAACCGTCATTAAAACCTTATGCTGAAACAGAGAAATACGGTGCCACGGCAAACACTGTGACTATATTAAGAATTACTATTGCAATACGTACAGAATATACAATAACAAGAAATATATAGTTCAAATAATACAGTGGCTGAGGAACGACAATTCACACTCAAATGCAGTCCAAGCTCCAGGCCAGAATCCAGGTGTAGTCCTGTCTGAGGGATGCTTCAGTATACAGTAAAGGAAACAAAAATGTTCCGATCCCTTATAAAGACGGAACTAATCACTACACTATATGTAACAAGGAACATGGGCAGAGCAATTCAGTGCGGTGCCTGTGCTGCAGCAGCCAGCTGCGGAACAGCTGCCCCACTACTGGTCACGTCCACAAGGGGATGGGGACGCGGTGGGCGATTGGGTGAAAAAGTTGCCCCAACAGAGTTACCGGGCGGTGCTCCCACAGTGTCTGTAGCGTTCCCACTGCAGCGTTCCGTCCTGGCATTGTTGCGAGGAGGGCAGGCAGGACCAATGGGAGTGTCATGAGATGAGGAGGCAGACCCAAGCATCGGTCACTGGCAGGGTCAGAGGGGGGCAGGCCACAGGAGGGACGCTCCTCCTTTGCCGCACATCCCCCTTGCAGAGACCAGCTCCCAGTAGGGAGGGGTTGTCACCCGTCAGCCCTGCGGGCACCCCACAGTAGCCCCAGAGGATGAGGACAAACAAGAATTTGGGTGTGAGGGTGTTCACTGCCAGCTCCAGCATCCAGCAGGGTGCCGATACAGTTGAGGGAGTCCCTGTGCCAACCCACGTGTGCCACTCCTGGCCGGGGAGCCCAGAGAGACTCCTGCAGGCCCCCCCCCCCCCGTCCTTCACCCATGTCCCTCATTGTGGCAAGAAGCTCCTCCAGGTTTCCGCACCCTCCTCATCTGAGTTGGCGTCCTCTCGGCACTTCCCTGTAATGGAAGAAGAATAGTGTTGGCACCTTCAGGGCATACTTCTCCTACAGTGATAGGGTGTGGCCATCACGCAGAATTGGCCAGCACATCGGTTGGTGGTGCTTGCTGGCTGCCGCAACGTTTGGCCCGGGGAGGTGTTGCCACTTCGCTAGGCAAGTGGCCTCCTCCCCAGCCATCACAGTGGCCCGCCTCCCCTGGCAGCTGCTTTGGGGGGGCACTTAACCACCTGGTGTGTGGCAGGCATGTGGGGGTCTGCTGCTCACCCCCAAGGCTGCCAGGTTCAGGAGCAGGAGACACCGTGTCCAGTGTGGCTTGGTGCTATTGTTGTAGGCCCAGGAGAGGTATGGTAGCCTTGCTTACCTGTTGCTGTTTGTGGTTTGGTGTAGTGGTTAAGTGCGCAGACTCTAATCTGGGAGAAACGAATTTGATTCCCCCCTCCTCCACTTGCGCCTGGCTGGATGACCTTGGGCAAGCCGTAGTTCTGATAAGAGCTGTTCTTGGAAAAAGAGCAGTTTCTGTCAGAGCTCTCTCAGCCCCACCTACCTCACAGGGTGTCTGTTGTGGGGAGGGGAAGGGAAAGGCATTTGTAAGCCGCTCTGAGACTCCTTTGGATAGTGAAGGGCGGGGTATAAATCCAATCTCTTCTTCTTCATATGTGGCTGCCCCTTCGGATCCCAGCAGACGGCCTGGTGTGCCTGTGCCGGCCAAGATCTGGGAGAGGGCAGCCACAAAGTATGGACTTTGCTCTCCATGTGGTGTATTCCCCCCAGTTGTCTGCCCAGCAGTGCTAGGTGCCCTGTCTCTGTTGCATCTGCCACTGGGGTGCAGGTGCACTTGCTCTGAGTTGGCACGGCAGAGAGCTATCAGACAGCGTTCCATGCTGCACACCCGGCCTCTGGAATTCTGAGGCAGTCTCCTGGAACCATTTGTAGGGGGGGGCGTGATTGGGTCCCGAGGGGGGGGGGTGCACTGATTGGGTGAGAACTTGGTCGGTATCGTGAGCGGCTTGGGGTCTCCTGTGGGTGTGGCTGCCGCTGTGTGTGGAAGACTGAATTTGAAGTCACCGTGGCTGTCAGTGGGCTATGAGCCATTTCTGCCCATGCAGCTTTGTGCCTGCTCAGGGGGGTGTTCCCCTGCTGAAAGCACTTTGGAACTCTGCCGCCGTGCCTCCTGGAACGCCCACAGGCATGCAGTCAGCTGGGTTTGTGCCTTTGCTCCGCCAGGGTGCACCTGCGGCTCCCCTGCGCCGGTGGGACTCAGTGCCACAGAACCCTGCGCCAATGTAAACTTCCCTTATGCTGGCGCAACTCAAAGTTACACCAGTGTAGGGGTCAGTAAAGTGTTCATTACAGATTGGAAAGCATAAACAGATTGGATAGCAAACTGATGCAATACTCAACATAACTTACTGTAGCTGTGCTACTGGGTTTACTGAATGCCACTGAAATGGGAAAAGAACTAATTTAAAGGGACCCACATACTAAAAAGTGTGTATATAATTTGAAGAAAAAAGGGACCACCATCAGTGAATGTATCATACATAAATAATCAAAATTAGGATCATACAGACAAGCAGAATTATACATAGAAAAACTACAATTGTAAAATTGCTATTGTGCTCTATTCCTCATCTAGGCATATGGTTCATGTATGTGGTTCATAAAAATCAGTTAAAATCTTTGCATAACAACTTATAGAGATCTGTTTTATTAAAAGGATGTGAAGTAATTTTTTCAGTGACAAAAAACTGCAAATCCGTATGTTTGTCCTTCATCTACAAGATATGCAGCAGGTGGTTCTTTTGTAACTACAGTTCATATGTGAAAGTGATGTTCCAATGCACGTATTCCAATAGAGCAGATATTCATGTGATAAAATATTATATGCTTAGTATTGCAGACAGTGAAATCATACAACTCAGACTCGCAGTGATCCTGTAGATACTCAAAACATTTTATCTCACATGAAAGAACAAACAGAACATCCCTCGCATTTATAATCACCCAAGACTATTGCTACATGCACATGTGTTTTAAGTCATTCTGATATAGTTTCTAAAATTCTTAGCTCTTCTAAAACCATTAAAGGGGAAATCGTTAAACGCAGGTATACATTGAGCCACATGCCAGTGTTTACATATTATTCTTTGGATAGAACAAATGTATATATTGAAAAGCACAGAAAATTTGATCCTTAACAGATTTAGGGGTTTTTTTTAGTTCTCACCTAGGTATTAAGCTCTGATATCAGTGTCCTAAAAATTATATTTGGGTAACCTGAATCTAAATGTTTTTTAAACCCTTTTTTCATGTAGTGTTCAGTTTCTTTAAAGTCTCAAATATGGGCCTTATGGAACATTGCTACATAATCTAGCAGGATCAAAAGAAGTATAATGTAACAGTGCTGTCAGTGGGTTTAATGTATAAACATGCAATTAATCACTAAAAAGGGTTCTGGTCCAGATTGCATGTAAGAGAATCTTCCAAGGAGTTCATGAATGAGTTAGCTAAACTAGGGGCAAAAAGACTGCCCATTGCTACACTTCTTGTGCCGTAATAGAACTGGCTAGCAAACCTGAATTTTTCTTTCTGAAATAAGTCAATTCCATTAAAAATATGTAGGAGGTCTCAGCTTGTTACGAGAGTCCAGGGTGGATTCAGCAACCATATGCACCTCCTCCTGTGGGAGATACTTGTACAAAACAGCCCCCAGTGAAATTCATTTGCCTTCTATCATGGAAGCGACATCTTTAGTATCCTTAACATAGGAAGGAGATTTAATGACAGCTTGTTGTAAAAAGGAATCCATATATTGAGACAAAGGTTCTAGTATGGAATTGAAAACCTGGCCTATGTACTTTAGGAAGTACAAGTGGAGACCCGAAGGAAACTTACGGGATGGTTCTCTCATTCGTCACACCTTTGCTTCCTCTCCTCACTCCCCACCTCTCTCACACTATTTCTCCTCCATGCATGTGACTTCCTCTCTCTTTCTGACCTGTCATCTTTCTCTTTGTTTTTCTGCCTCCCCACTTCATCACTCTTTCTCTCTTTCTGCCCCCACCCCATCATTCTTTCTTTCTGCCCCCAGCACTCTCCCAGCCTCCTGCCTGCTTCCTCCTCCACTCCGCAGAGCAGCAGCAGCAGTGGTGGCAGTGCTCCTAGCCACCCACCTGCTTCCTCTCCCCCCACAGCAGCAGTGGCAGCGGTCTGGGAATCACAAAGGATCTCCCAGCTACAGAGATCAATTCACCTTAGGGCTGCCAGCTCCAGGTTGGGAGGTTCCTGGAGATTTGGGGGTGGAGCCTTGGGACAGCGAGGCTTGGGGAGGCAAGCAGCCTCAGCAGGGTATGATGCCATAGACTGAACCCTCCAAAACAGCCATTTTATCCAGGGGAACTGATCTGTCACCTGGACAACAGTTGTAATTCTGGGTGATCTCCAGTCCACACCCGGAGACTGGCAATGGTGGTTCTCGTGGAGGAAATGGCTGAAGGGTGGAGTCTATGACATTACACCAGTCCAAAGTTCCTCCCCTCCCCAAATCCCACTCTC